ATATATATATATATATATATATATATATATATATATATATATATATATAGATAACATTACGACTGCAAATGATATTGCAGTCTCTCTCTGATGTAGACTCGCATTTCATTGTCGAAATTATCCCATAGCTTCAGCGCCATAGTCTCACGGTCAATTATCAAAGCTTAACGTAACCCAGATAATACTCCAGGTTCCATCAATTTCATCGGGAAAGATAACAGCGACGAAATTCCCTCGATGTCTCTCGAAGTCCACCGAAGTCCTACGACCAATGAGTGTGGGGGCATTTTATACAAAAATCATACAAAAATGTGTCAATAACATATAATCACTGTCAAATATGACTCTCGTTGTTGGAAGGTTTGACTTCAAGTCGGGTAGTGACCAAATTAACGACAAAACATCTATGTGACGGTCTACATAAAACCATGCAATGATTTGGAATGAAAATAACACGTTACAATGTATATGTGTCCTATTCTACCAACAAATGTGTACTCGCATTTAGTTTATGCACCACCGCTACGAAAAAACTCGGTTGAAGCGTATACATTGCCATGGGAGATCTTCATTATAATCTCTGTGATATGTCGCAAGTGTATCTCGCCAACTTTAGCGGACGGATTGTAACATGAGTTGCTAAGATTAGGGGAGAATAAAAAATAGCCTTTATTTTTTCCATATGACGGTGTGGCACTGACACTAATCTCTGGGCCGGTTCTCTTCATGTTCATGTTCTTATTCCTCGAAACTTCCGTTTCACAAACGGATGATTGGGCAAACGGACCGTTTGTTAAACGGGTTTTTAGATCAAAAGGTACATTAACAAGCCGGCCCAATACCTTTCGGAGATAGTGGCATCCACCCACTTTTTCCAATTTCATGGATTGACACAAATTGACTCTTTCCAAAAAATGTTCTAAAGAAGTCGAGAATTTTCTGTAAACCGAAGAATTTTCGCGAATTTTCAGAAAACAACCGGCGATTTTCCTGAAATTTTCTCCAACTTTCTAAAATAATCTAAAATTTTCTAGAATTGCTATAGATGGCATTGGCCGTCAGGGTAAAATACGGGAATGACCCCTAACATGAAATTGAAGATATAGAAGAAGAAAATAGAGCAGGTAACACGGGGGCACAAGCTAGTCCAATATAATAGTTCTTGCCTCCTGCACCAGCCATCCAGTCATATACTTTCGGCGTCCTAAAGACCCTTGCAGGTCTTGCTTCCACTTTGGCCCTCGGATATATGATAAATTCATTTTGGTCCTTACATTCACTAGTAAAGCTCACATCTTTTTTCATAAGATTTCTTCCAGTTCTTAATAAATTTTCCAAATTCTTATTCAGCCTCAAGAAACGTTCATTCAGATTATATGTAGTAATCGTGTATTGTATCTCGATCATTAATGCCTGCATGTAGAGAAAGTATATGGGGGAATAGTTGATTGGGCCTTTGTCAGCCATTTTTCTTTTCAGTTTAGTTTGCATGTCCCATACATAAATATCAAGAGAAGAAATTGTTATCAAGTAGACGAGTGCCCCTGCTGAGATGATTATTGCAAATCTACGTGTTTTTCTGGCGTTGATAAATCCAATCCTTTCATCAGCCTAAAGATAAAAAGTAAATTCACATAATGTGAATCAAAAATTGATTCTTCAATGAATGATTTTTATATTTCATGTTCAATTTGCTGTTATAGCACAATATTATTCTCCAGTTTCATTTTTCATTCTGTTTTTATGTTCCTCCGAAGACATTCAACTCACGTCAATAAGACGGCCTATAATCTCCTGAAGGTATTTCCACCGAAAAGGAGCACCAAGTACTCCAACTGCAGCCAAAAGAGCAACAGCCACTACGTCTCCAATAGTCACATTCAATGCTGTCTGCCGCTTCAATCTAGTACTATTCACCCATCCATCCCTGAGGTCTCTCCAGAGTCCCCAAATCTCAGCACAGATGAATAATAAAAGGAGACAAACCCTGTTGAAGTCCTAAGCCATTAACGTCTGAACAAAATAAAGTAAATTTGCTCACCCGTATATAATGTCAACCACGTGAATCTTCGAGTTATATCTCCCACTTGCTTGGATACTGACTCTTACTGGTAGCAGTCCGAATCCTTTACTTAGGTGGTAAATAGGAAAGAGCCCTTGGTACAAATCTGATTTCAATTGCTTACTCATGGTGACTTCCTGTTTAGTGGCATCATACTCTTTAGCAGTCGTCATGAATCCTTCTAAGAGAAATAATTATCAGAATTCATAGAAATAAAATCAGGTTTCAAAGTTTAAATCTGTTTTCAAATCGTTATGCAGTGAGCTTCCATTTCCACTTCGAGATCACTAGATTTTTTTCGCGACGTTTGTGAATTGTGATTATTCATTCATCTGATTGATGAAATGAATAAATTGAAATTATACCAAAATGGTACTCACTAGCTTTTGAAAAGGCTTGCTTGATAGCACCCCGAGACACATGCATATTCAATTAAAGCAAAAAATCCAAAGAATGCGTTTTAAAATTTTTTAAATTTAATTTAGGCTCTTTCAACTGTTGTTTCTCACCTGGGCACCGTTTGTAAACAAGTCTGCTGAGTGTATTTCAATTTTATTCGTTATAGCCGAGAAAATACGACAAACAACAACATGCTTTTATCTTGATGGTGAACTATCGTGTTATGAGGTAAATTACTTACTGAAAATCGAATTGAGATGGAAATCGAAAGGAAATGATAACACAATTGTTTGCCTCTCGTCAATGGGAATTATAATTACGGTTGACCATTCGGTCAGTGGTGATAGAAGGAATATGATCGTTATCATTGGTAAATACGTGTTTTTACCGCGGCCAAGTGCTTCAATTGGATCGATATTATGAGACTGATAACAAAGATAAGTACATTCAACGAAAATAGAAGAATGCAGATCTGGCTAGTGCTATTAGAACACCACGTACTTTTACGGTAGTGTATATATTCTGTAAATACGTATATTTCAAACTCTAATTGAAGTAAACCATCGTGGGACCCCAGTCGAAATTTTGCAACATTGAGCCAAAGTGCCTATATCTATAACACTGAATATCGCGCATCAGGTCACGCGGCGAAGTTTTTGTGCCATGAAATTTCTATTAAGAGAATAGGGTCGACACATTCAGCTTAATAGTGATAGAAAATTTCACAAAATGTCAAAAAATGGAAAATACCACGAATTTTGATATAAATCGACAGAATTCGACATGATATAAGAAATTTTGTTAGAAATTTTTTAACATATTTCAACAAAAAATGTGATATCATGTCAAGTCGATAGAATGTCATCAAATATCAGAATGTGACGACAAATATAGTCATATGATAAAAAAGTATAACGATATGTAAAACTATGTCAGATTTTTAATGTGATAATTTGTGAAATGATGACATTCTCTGACAAAAACCTATGATCAAAATGTCGTAAAAAAATATAAAAATATGATATGATCCATTAAATAATGACATAATAAAAGATATGATTACATACTTTGACAAATTCTGTTATACTCAATATGTCAAAATTTGCCGTATCAAGACATTTTTGACAAATATCTATGCTAAATATGCCCTCGATAAAAGTCGAGATAAGACATCATCTGTGAAATAATAACCATGAAGAATAGAAATAATAATAATAGTAACGATATTATAGAAAATATGATGTCATATTTGATCAGATTCAGATTTGATAAATATATCAAAATTTGTTGTCAAATTACATTTTCACATAAACACTTATGCGCTTATGCTGTAAGTATAATTAAAAACTGTAAAATACCGACAAATTATTGAGATATTGGAACTTTTGACTTCATACATCTCCAAAGTAGTAAGTGGGCGAGATTGGGAAATGTCTCAAGCTCCCTCCCCCCTTTTTCCAGGAAGTGCACGTGCACGTCCCCCCCCCCTTCGCCGTTCAGCGGCATGCTTTTTGAAGAGGATGTCAGCGCGCTGGGAGGCCTCCTGAGGTGCAGGGTCGCAAAGTTGGGATACGACGATCACAGGAAGCTGGTGGTGGGAGGAAAATGACCGCCAGATGGAAAAGGGGTGGTGGGTGGGAAATGAGTGGTGGTTAGAATGTGGCTGGTGGGTGGGAAATGAGTGATGATAAAATGAAATAACTATATAACGCACAATTTATAGGATTACGTAAATTATTTATTCAGAAATTATTCTTATTGTCTAGGATACATAATTTTCTTAATTCTAAAGGATGATAATGATGATGATGGATTATTATTAGGGTTTGGACAAAACCATTCGTCCAGTACCTTTTCTCCCAATGGATTTTCGTCCAAAATCACTCAGTCCAATGACCCAAATCGTCCAAAAACCTTTTCGTCCAAAAACCACTTAGTCCACCACAATAAACATCCAATAATAAAAAATAGAAACTACTACAGGGTGTCCCATAGCATGTGACCAAAGTAAATTGCAAATAACTTGGAGACAGTAAAATGTAAATAATTGTTCTTTTTTTATTCTACAAGGAACATTCGGCAAATTAAAATACAATTCCTTCCAAGTGTCCGCTATCACTTGTCCTAGAGAACTCTATGCTGCGTTCGAAACTGATATAGTTGCACTGTATTGTGTTTTTATCAACAGCTCGGATAGCATCCCTAATTGCGTCTTGCAACTCTCCCACCGTCGTCGGATGCTTCTCATAGCACTTGTCCTTGAGAAAACCCCATGGGCAAAAATCGCAGGGATTTAAGTCCGGACTGTAAGGCGGCCATTCCATGCCCCCATGGGCATACTTAAGGTAACCTAAGTCTAATACACGAGTGCCGTAAACGGAAAAAAGTATTTCACATACTCCAGCAGTCCTGTGTGGGGCGGCACCATTTTGCATGAAGTAGAAATTCTTGACTAACTGATTTTTTCGTGCACAAGGAAAGAAGTTCTTCTTCAAGAACTCACAGCAAATATCATCACTGATTGTCGGACTCTCAATAAAGTCCAGGAAAATAGCTTTCTCTGTAATTGCCGCACATGCAATGACTTTTTTCAGGTGTGAGGACTTGGTTTCAATAACGTGAGGTGACTCAGTCCCCCGAAAGCCAAAAGTTTCGTTATTTAGTAAGCCACCTAAGTAGAAATGTGCTTCGCTCGAAAAGATAATATTTTGTGCCTTCATTTCCTTGGATTCAAAAAAATTGTGAAGTTCTTGGCAAAATTGCACACGGTGAGCCTATGCCTCCGCACTTAAAAATTGATGCACAGAAATTTTATAGGGATGGAAGTTTAAAAACACTTTCAAGATGCGGTGAAGTGAAGTTTTTGAGACTTTCAAGGTTTGAGAAGCCTTTCGAAGAGTATCATTTGGATATTTTTTGAAATGTTGTTCAGTTATGCGGACAACTTCATCCGTGGTTACAGTACGTGAAGGACCAGGCTCATGCTTTCTATCGTCTAGTGTACCGTACTGATCAAAATTCTTAATTATCTTGAAAATAACCATAACTGGTCGAAAAATGCATCAATTTTCAAAAAAAAGAAGAAAACAAAATTTTTTGGTTAGTTAGTTCATTTACTTTATTTACCGTTTGAGACTCGAATCAGACACTCCAGTATGTGTGCCATACTTAGAATGAAATGCTCTTATAGCTGCAGTAGCTGAATCTCCTTTTCGGTAATATGATTTGATAAGGATTGATTTTTGTTCGATGGTTAAATTTTCCATTTTAGTGCTGCAATTCTCGAGCGACTGAAGCATGAATGAAATTTGCAGAGAGTCTCCACTTGAACCATATATTAGACTTCAGACTGCACTGCCACCTTGCGGAATTCCACGCAATTTACTTCGGTCACATGCTAAGGGACACCCTGTACATTCTTACAACAATGTACATGAATATTTTCAAGACATACGAAAATAGTAAAACATGAATGATTCGATAATGATAATTAAAGTACCGCCATCACAATTTTCATAAATTATTTACATGAATTTTCTCAATTGTTGTTCCATAATTTTCTCATGAGAGCAGTTTTTTATGTTAATTATTAATGGGTGTGCATATTGGCACCCCTTGGTGCCTGGTTTCTAATGTCTGGTGTCTAAAAGCTCTGTCTTCGTGTCTATTGTCTAGTGCCTGGTATCTTGTGTCTGGTGTCTGAAAGCTCCTTTTTCGCATATGGTGTCTGGTATCTGGTGTCTGTTTATTTTCTCGCCGGTAGGGAAATACATCGTATATGGGTACTTGTGTCTGGTGTCTGGTGTCTGGTGTTTGAAAGCTCTGTTCAATAGAAAGACATGATGTGTCTAGTGCCTAACGTTTGTAGTGTCTGGTTTCTGGTGTTTGGTGTCTGGTGACTGGTGTCTGGTGTCTCATGTTTAATGTCTAGTTACTGGTGTCTGGTGTTTGATTTCTGGTGTCCGTATACTGTTTCAACGATAGGGAGATACGTAATAGATAGGCATTCGTATCTGGTGTCTGGTGTCTCGTGTTCGATTTATGATGTCTGGTGTCTGGTGTTTGGTGTCTGGTGCCTCATGTGTAATGGTTGGGGACTGGTGTCTGGGGGCTGGCGTTTCGTGTCCGATGTATGATATCTGGTGTCTAGTGTTTGGTGTCTGGTGCCTCATGTGTAATGGTTGGGGACTGGTGTCTGGGGGCTGGCGTTTCGTGTCCGATGTATGATATCTGGTGTCTAGTGTTTGGTGTCTCGTATCCGGTGTCTGGTGTTTGGCTTCTGGTGTCCGTATAGTGTTTCAATGATAGGGGGTAACGTGAGGGATAGGTGACTCGTGTCTGGTGTCCGGTGTCTGGGGTCTGATGTCTGGTGGCTCGTGTCCGATGTACAACATCTGGTGTCTAGTGTTTGGTGTCTGGTGTCCGGTGTCTCATGTGTAATGGCTGGTGACTGGTGTCTCATGAGTAATGGATGGTGACTGGTATCTCATGTGTAATGGCTGGTGACTATTGTCTGGTGCTTGGTTTCTGGTGTCCGTATACTATTTCAACGATAGGGGGATACGTGATGGATAGGCACTCTTGTCTGGTGTCTGGTGTCTGGTTTCTGGTGTCTCGTGTTCAATGTATGATATCTGGTGTCTAGTGTCGGCTGTCTCGTATCTGGTATCTCATGTGTAATGTCTGGTGACCGGTGCCGGGGTCTGGTGTCTCGTGTTTAATATCTGGTTACTGGTGTCTAGTGTCCGCTGTCTTGTGTCCGATGTGTGATATC